CGACTTGAGAATGGTCCAGGACGGACCGAAACGTCGTCGTCCCTTCAACTTCTAGTGTGTGGTCTGGTCAACATACTTCAGCCACGTTATTGTGACTCATCGCCTGCAGACTGACTTCTCTCTCTTCTTAATCGTATAGTACAGTTGAGTGGGGCTGTACCTCTCTGTTTCCTGGAACGTGCAAAATGGCAACGCTATTTTGTTGTTGTAATGGATTAGATTATGAATAAATAGGCGCTTTGTAATGACGTCTCACGGGTCAAAACACTATACGCAGGTTTATATAATTCACATTGCAATTGAAAGGAAAAGTGTAGTGTAAGAAAAGTGTAAAAGTATAATGTAGAGCAGCGAATAAAAATTAATGTGTAGATTCGTGAAAAAAGGGAGATGGCTTTACTTTTGTGCCTAGGAGTTAATTGACCTTTTATGTAAATTTTATTTATTGGCATTTTGAGGCAGAGACGACGTGACGTCACACACAAGAGGCTACCTCGATGGTCGCTGGCCGTTAGTCAACCACACAACCCCCAAAAACAACAACAACAACATCAATTGTTGTTTTTCAAGTTAAAAGTGGTTAGCAAACATTTACAGTTGCAAATATAGTTGATATACTTTATACAAATAACGGTTTCAAGAACTAATTACACATCAACATCAGGAATAGACAGGAGAATCAAAAAGTATTTTCCTTCATTATCAATTAATATTAATGACAGCTGGGAGACAAATTGAAATAAATAGGGACTGTCATATTTATTTGATTCCTGAGAACAACTGTTATTAAATTAATTTGGTAAACAAATACATTACGTAATAGTATGCATAATTGCCCAAATAATTACATGAGACTAAAACAGAGATAGAGACAGAGGAGGAGTCGGATTCGCACAGTGCGTCCATATACCTCTAATTTGCAGGTCATCCCTGATGGCAACGATATTCTTAAAAGAAGACTGATGGTTGCATTCAAGAATAACCAAGTAGTCTTTGGGAAAGATTTTTATTGGCCCACCAAACCGACGTTTGTGGTTCAAGTTCCCTAATTCTTCCCAACGCCTGCACCACAGTCTAGCTGTTGGCTTTGTTATTCCAAGTTCTCTAGTGGTGGCGGCGATTGACATGCCCCTCTCTCTCATAGCAACTATTGGCCCTCGCTGACATAGCCTTTCCTCCCTGGAGTTCATCCTTGATAGAGTCTGCACTCTGGAGATGACTCGTGGGCTGGTCTGGGGGAGGGTGAAGGGTCCACATTCTTTCACCCAATCGACGATTTCTGCTATAGTTTGATGGTTAAACAACCATTGTTGGAAACTGCCTTGTTTTAAGAAGCTTTAGTTTGTCCAATAACATATATCATCACGTTGCCAGGATGAGTATAAGATATCAACCCGTTCTCGCAAATTTAATAAGTCAATATTGACTTATTAGTTGCGTGCATAGGTGACATACTAAACATAATAATTTCCCTTGAAAAGCTTCATAGAAAACACCGACCTTACCTAACCTACTTAGTATGTTAAAATAAGCATCTTATAGCTTCGTAATTACAATTGTTACTTAACCTATTATAGGTATAGGTTAGGCAATAATTGTAATTACGAAGCAATAAGATGCTTATCTTAACATACTAAGTAGGTTAGGTAAGGTCGGTGTTTTCTATGAAGCTTTTCAAGGGAAACTATTATGTTAAGTATGTCACCTATGCACATATTTAATATTGACTTATTAAATTTGCGAGAACGGGTTGAAGATTTTCATCAAATGACAACGAATTACACGTGTGCCATGATGGAAAATTTCACACGTCTGTAATATTTGTAATGAAAGCCTGTCTGTGTGACTGTGTTCATTTATATAAATGGAAATGTTCGTTTCTTTAAAATCGCTAATCTCCGAAAGTTCTTCACCGATTGCTTTGAATTTTTTACACAACGTTCCGTTCGCACCCGAGCGTTTTTTTATATACATACCTTATAGCTGTCACGTCTTTGACGGGGAAAGAGATGCTTTTTCTGAAAAGCTGTGTTTTTTTGTGTTTGTCATGGAAGGGAAATCTCCGAAACCTCTTTACCGATTGCTTTGAAATTTTGACACAACGTTGCATTCGAACAGGCGCGTGTTTTTATATACCTACTATATACATGCCTCACCTGTGACAGGTAAAAACATGCTTTTTTTGAAAAACAGCGCCATCTGTTGGACGTAAGAGCAACACACGCTGTAATCTCCGAAAGTTCTTCACCGATTGCTTTGAAATTTTGACACAACGTTGCATCCGAATACGCGCGATTTTTATATACCTACTATATCGATGCCACACGTATGACAGGTAAAAACATGCTTTTTTCGAAAAACAGAGCCATCTGTTGCATGTAAGAGCAACACACGCTATACTAAATATGTTACGATTATATTTCAATGTTTCCAATTGCATTGAGAAATTCCATTTTCATCGATTTCGATTAATTTTAATTTTCATTTAATTATTTTGTTTGACATTGTGTTGGAATTGAGCTGTGTTGTTTACCATACCGTTCATTTCGTGAGTATAGTTTATTTGTTATATTTTTTTATTGTTTTCATTGCGTTTTTTAACTGTTCCTATTTTTCAGGGATGTGAACATCAGACTATTTGAGGTTCTCAATTTTTAGAAGCGAACATCAGATAATTTGGGAAGGCATCGGACGAGGGAGTGGGGAATGGTGGGGAGGACGAGGGGACGGAGGGAGTTGGGGATGGGGGAATGGAGAATGGTGGAGAGGACAAAGGGACAGGGTAGTGGGTGGATAGTAGGCAGGAAGAGGGGAGGGGAAATGGTACGGAGAACGAGGGGACGGGAAAGAGGGGAAGATGAGGGGATGGTGGAGTGGGGGATGGTGGGGAATACAAGGGGACGGGTGAGGGGGGAATAGTGGGGAGGACTGGGGGACAGGGAAGGTTATTGTGGCTCAGCAACGCACATGCGTGGCTGAGCCACAGCAACGCATGGCCGGGTACTGCTAGTGTCTGTGTGTGTGTATATATATATATACATATACATGTATATATATATATTGTGACGGTAAAGTGTTGGAGTGTTGATGTTCGGCAGTCCTCCAATGGCAGGTGGCAATGCCTTGTCACATTTACAGAAAAAAAAGAGACTGCTTGCCTGTTTGTCTGTGGTAAGGTAATGGGAAGACACACAAAATATACACAATGAAATTTTAATTACTTTAGAAAACAAGATATGAACAAAGACAATCCCTTGGCTTACGTAAAATTCAAAACAAGTCAACAAACAAAACATGAATAATTAATGAATGTAAAATTTACTCTAAAACAAAATGAAGTGCAAGACAATAATAATAAGGATCAGGTGCTGAGAATACTGGTTAAAGCTGCCACCTCCCTTAGTACACGACAGCCAGGGCTTAGTCTACCAGAGAGAGATGTCAACTTCTAAGAGCACAGAGATATTCTGAGGAATACGGCGTGAGCTGGCCCAGACGTCGACTCAGGTAGGGGGGCGTGAGTGCAGGTGCAGGTGTGGCCGGCGATACACCAGCCAATCAGGAGCAGGCAGGCGGAGAATGGGTAGTTTACTCGTTGACGGCGGGCGGGAATTACAAAATTCTGTGCACATCGTCACATAAGAAATGGGCTCGAGACCGACCACAAGTAGTCTCTTGTAGTATTTCAAATATATTAACAAATGTAAATGTTTACTAACAACTTTTAACACGAAATTTATGTTGTTGTTGACTGACGGTCAGCGATGATCGAGGAAGCGTTTTGTGTGTGACGTCACTTCGTCTCTGCCTCAACCGCCAAATACTAATACATAAAATTATCATACGTTGTCGTTTACGTGAAAGGTCAATAAACTCGTAAGCACACATGTAGGCCATCTCTCTTGATCACAAATCTAAATATATTCTTTGTTATGCATTGCTGTATTATATTTTCCTTTAGAGAGCAGAGAGAATTATGTTAACACGCTAGTGGTGTTTTGACCAATGAGACTCGTTGCAATGCGTCAATTCATTCATAATATAACTCAATACAATGACAACAAATGCGGGAGTTTTGCCTCGGCGCTTCTCGTGGACGGTTGTTGGTGAGACCTTGTCGGGTCCAGCCCCCGTGTGGGCCTGTGTGATGGGGGATGCCATTACTCCTGGTGAAACGGACCTTGACGTTTGGCCCCGAGTTCTCCGGAATTGTGGACTACAGTGCTGTATATGTTGTCTTGTTTGACATTTTGTGAACGGCCCTAGACGTTGTCGGTGGGGTCTAGATCATCTCCAGTCACTGGGTGGTGGTTAAGTCGAGCTCTCTGGCTGCCGGGATTTTATCAGCCACTAAGACTGGCGTTCCTTCCAGTTGCCGGGTGATGTTGGATCTGTGACCGATTCAGATCGTAGTGGATTGGCAACGTATGTGAGTGTATTCCCGGAAGACTTATTGCGGCATTATTTCGGCAGGTTTGGGCGGGTGTTGAACGTCCGTACGAACGTCATTTCATCTGGAAGGCTGAAAGGCGTCCTGAATGGGACGTCCCATCCCGTCCTCTTCAGATTATGGGATTCTACATCCGGATCTTATATATGCTGGCCAGCCCCGTACTTGCTTCCGGTGGGGTTTACCTGGGCACCAGGCGGCGGGGTACCGTGCTGGCGGTATAGAATGTGTGAACCTCTTCCGGGAGGAGGATTTTCCCCACTGGAGGTCCTGGAGGACTCCGTTTGATGACGGTCTCGCCGAGGATGCTGTGCCTGATCGACGTGCAGCTGGTGGGTCTTCCGGATGTTGTGTGCCGTGCGGTGGTTGCTGAGCCAGGGTTGTCTGCAGACCTCCCGACTGGTAGTGTCGGTGTTGGGAACGTGGTGCGTGTGGTTCCTCCCCCACCTCCGGCTGCTGTGGATGTGGCGTTGGATTCTTCTGTGGTCCCGGGGATCGTAGCATCCGCTGTGGGCCGTGACAGTGCACTGCCTCGTGATGGGGGGGTTGTGTAAGGTGCCTGGTGTGCCTGTGGAGGTGCACGCTGTGAAGCCTGTTGTGGTGTTTGACCCAGTTCCTCCGGCTAAGGTAACTCATGTGGCCGTGAGTTGCGAATGAGGGGGAGTTTGAGGAGTTGATGTCTTCTTCTGATGATGATGCTGGTGGTGGACCTAGGGCTCCTGCGGTGCCTGTTGGTCAATGAGCCCCCCCCCCCAGTGTCCAGTAGTGTGCTGGGCTGGAGTGGGGTGGGGGGCTCATTGCCTGCTGCTGTGCCCCCCTTCCCCACCGCACCCCTATGTGTGGGTTCCCCAGTGTGGAGGGTTGTTGCCCCTGCTGTGAGCGCTGGTGCGAGCAGGGAATTGGTTCTGGTACTGAAAAAGGATGCCGTGAAGCAGGACTCCGTTTCGGTGGGCCCTGTGCTGGTGGTCTTTGGGCAGCCTCTTCCAGTGCTGCCGAGGCCCGGCAGCAGCTTATCTCGCCGACTCCTTTGCCAAACCCTCAGCCGGAACCTACGCCCATACCTAGTTCCAACCCCTTGATGTATTATAGGCGTCAACCCCATGAGGTTGCTGCTTACTGGGCGGCTAGAGGCGGGAATCCGTATTCATCCGCATCCCATGTCAAGTCATTTATATATATTCTTGTTCACTGCCCATACTCTTAAACTGTCTGTCAAATTTAACCAATTGTTTTACGTATGTATCTTCATGTTTATATTTCTTTGTCCTCTTAGTTAGGTCAGGTCTTGCAGAATAACTCTCAAAGAGGAGACTCGTTTCTCCAGCAGGCTGTGATCATAACAACGTGCACACCTGTAGTTGAGGTTTGTGCACACCCATATTTGTAGTATGTGCACACCCATACTTGAGGTATGTGCACACCCATACTTGAGGTATGTGCACACCCATACTTGAGGTATGTGCACACCCATAGTTGAGGTATGTGCACACCCATAGTTGAGGTATGTGCACACCCATACTTGAGGTTTGTGCACACCCATACTTGAGGTATGTGCACACCCATACTTGAGGTTTGTGCACACCCATATTTGTAGTATGTGCACACCCATACTTGAGGTATGTGCACACCCATAGTTGAAGTATACGCGCACCCATAGTAGAGATATATGTTGTGCACTAAGTATGGTTATCATTATTCCAGGATGGAGTGCCACCGAGTTCTATGACCCAGGATAGTACGACGTCATATTCTCAGGCCAGACAAGGTATGTGGTCTGGTGTCAAGTGTCTGGTTATGCCAAGAGATGAGGGAAGCTTTATTCGTCTTGTGGATTGGATAGGTGATCGCCGGCATTTTATATGGTGATTTCACCATGATTGTAGTCAGTTCATCTTAGAAATCCAAAATGAACCGACTAGCTGCTAGCGGTCAGTAGATCTTGACCTCACAAAGGGTGGGAGGATTTTTTAATATTATTATTAATTATTATTATTATTATTATCTACCACAGACGTGGCCAGACATTTACAATGCTAACCAGCATATATACATTTTCTTCTGTCCTCCATGGACAGTGTGAGCGATCTGTTAAACATATAGTTCAGTGATTTATTGAGTAATCAACCACAGAAGGTGATTGTAGTGCTTTTTAAAATGCTAATCTAACATAAAAACATAGATATTTTCAAAATACATACATAAAAACACATATTTACGTCTGCCCTACATAAACAGTATTCGAGGTGTCTTTTTACATTGTGTCATTAATGTGCTTTTACAAAGGTGAAATGCAATTCTGACCAGCTTCCACATATTCTGCATACACACACACAAAGATGCTTTTCCAAGCTCAGGTTATATAGTTACATCACACTGTATAACTTATGCATTACATAGTCAATCTTGAGGTTACCTTGAGATGATTTCGGGGCTTAGCAACTACGCGGCCCGGTCGTCGACCAGCCCTCCTCCTTTATCTTGGGTACAAGTCCAATATATCATCAAGTGTTCCAGTATTCATATAGTATTTACAGAGTGCAGCATACCTCATCCCAGGAGGGCGAAAGTCAGTCAATATGGGACATTCTACCATATAATGTTCAAGGGAGTGCATGTTTTCTCTTACAAAGTTGACACATTGTGTACTCGACACTTTCACAAAGTTGACACATGGTGTATTCGACACTTTGTAACGGGTACGGGATAAACAGCTCTCTTTAGTCCATTATCCTGCCCTTAGTTAACTATTCTAGAGTTCCCCCGAGTTCCTACTGCAACCTCTCTAGTTCAACACCTTGTCACCTAGGTGTTTGATTACCTTGCTACTTCAACAAGGCATTGTAACCTGATCAGTTACCTGTAACTCTAGAGAACTCTAATACTATACACTGCCACGAACGGAAAATAAAAATGAAAAGAAATGAGTGAGGGTATGGGGTGAGGGAGGTAGAGAGGGGTGAGGGAGGTGTGGGGAAGTAGAAAATGTAGAAAGTAGAAAGGGCTGCCACCATCCATCCTAAGTCAGTACATACAAGACAAGGAATTGAACTTGTCTATCATAAAATAATCAAAGGAGTTCACGTATCAACTCTAAACATGTACTCATTAAAATCATAAAATCGGTAAACGCAGACACACTCTCCCGCCTCAACTCTCAAAGCTTTAGGGAACAAAGTTAAAGACAATTTAACCCGTAAATTCATCAGTTATATTTAACATGATATATAACAAAATTCAGGCAATTTAACTTAAGGTTCACTATGTCAAGATTAAAATACAGTGTGAGTCATTACACAAGAATTTGAGAACAACACAGTTGTCTGCCCCTGACAATCACACAGCACCTAAGTTTGGGAAAACACAGATACGTCGCCTTAAGTTCAACTCCCCAAGGGAATGACACTAAGTTAAGATAGAGAGGGGGGGGAGCTCGTTAGACAGACAAGAGTCCCCCATCCAGCCTGACAGCCTGGACTGGGGCTGTGGGCTCGCTCCAGCACGACCTTCTATCCTGTGTGTGTCTGTCTGATATCTTCTGCCCAGTGCTGTCGAATGTACAGTTCTCTGGGTATTTATGGGAATCTTAGAGCTAAACCCCGCCCACCAGTAAGGTAACCTCAGGCGCTCTACTTAAAACCCTAGGCAGCCGTGTGTCTGAAGGCCACCTTCCCCCCCTCCAGCCAGCCGTCTGCAATTATCGGCTTTGCAGAAGGCAAGGTCACCCGACCCTTGGTCAGCCTGTGGTCATTACTTCTAAAAGGTGAAATCCCTTAATTACTAAGGCCAGCCCACCTGGTGTTCTCAAATATTCTGTCTGTCTGACTGACTGTTTGTGAATATCATTCTAACACATTTATAGTATTATTTAGTGTTACATCTCTACATCTCCCACTAATAAAGTTTTTGCAACACTGCTAATGCAAGTAAGCTGGGTGCGAATACTTTATACACAAAAATTACATCCTAGCTAAACAATTAAACATCATCCTACTCTAAAAAATTTAAACGACCAGACATCTGGAATCTCTGGCTGGGAGACATCACTGCTTGGTCTTGTAGATATTCCTGTGACGCATTTCTTCAACACAACTGCATCAGTCTCGTCTCCGTCGTTGATGCATAACAACGCCGTAACCACCCATGGAAACTGTACTTCTTGCACTGCGCACAGGACCGTATGAAGGTCGACCCAGCTGATCTTGAATTGGCCCTACGTCTGTCATCACGATGGCCGTATCTTGGGGTTCTTTACAGCATATAGGGACAACAAGTTTCGAAACCTCCATGTAGTTGGCACCGTAGAATCCATTCTGCTGTTGGCCCCCTGTTGCTCCATCAAGCCTTATTCAGAGAGTCACTTCTGACAGCCACATCAAGTCCGCACGACACAGGAGGAATCACTCAACAGAACGACATTCTTGCCGGAGTGGCGGCTAGTTAAGGCAAACGATCCTGTCTTGCAATACACTCCATGCAAATACTGCTGACACCAGCAAGGGACACTAGGCATCGTGTCTTATGATGGTGGTATCTAATCTTCTTGCTTCTGTCTTCTCTCTTCTCTCTCTTGTGCTGCCCCATGGGAGTCTCGGGTGATCTGGGGTCACCTGAGACTATCAAGCGACATCAAGTGACATGGTCATCAAGCTATTATCGGTCATCAAGCGACCTGGGGTCCATCCTGGGTAGACCAATGTTGGTGGGACAGACTGGAGCCATTGTTGTTCCTCTTCCGCGTATACAGCGGATCGCCTGGGGTCCTCTGCAGGACGACCTGGTGTCCACTGGGGTTCCGATGACAGTGGGACATCATCCTTTGGGGTCCAGTATGGTTGTAGCGGAGAAAGGCGACGGACAACCTGGGGTCCAATGTTGGCCATCCGAGAAGGCTGGCTTAGGGTCCCCCTGGGTGGCGGTGGACCCATGACACAGCCAGGGAAAGGGCTGGTCGTAGTGGTGGTGATGAGCGGCCATGCGTGTGGTACAAGGCAGCCGTTTCCTTCCTCTGTATATGTGACTTCTTCTCTTGACACAGAACTGGGAATGAACATAAAAGGTAACAATATCTGTGTTCCAAAAATGTTGTATGACCCTACAAGTGTAATAGGGTTCACACAGCTCAGTCATAATGTTCTTCTCCTGGCAACAACTCGCCAAATTTATCACTAACGAATTCGATCCAAAACACTTAATCTAGTAGTATGTCCCAGGAACATACAACTTAATTCGAGGGAAAACTTAGAAAATTACAAGGGGAAATAGATTATGGGAAATCCTAACAAAACGGAACTTTTAATAGTGGGAACACTGAAATTGAAGGGAAGCACCTAATTTAGGGGAATACTAACGTATACTTAACGAACTCGATATAAAACTATAGCGTTTTTCTATCTGCCCGCGAGACAGCCCGACCCTAGTGACCTCGGCCACCGGAATTCCACGGAAACGCCACTTTACGAAAATCAACTATGACTAGACTGCAGAATGATATACCAAACCTCGTGGTTGGTATCTTAACTCACCCCGTTGCTAGGAAAATCCTACCTCATCTCTGAGCTTACCGCGGTTGGTTTCTTGAGTTTACCGGAAAGTCCTAAGCGTTTGGGTCGCCTAACACGCCCTCGGAGATATCACAAATAGCGTCCTATCTATTTCTCCGCCCTCGACAGCTCTAAAACGGAACTGCAGTTGGAAATATAGTAGTTTCCAACTCCTCTGAGTCAATGGAAGAAAGTCGAGTACGTACTCAAGTTGAGGCCCCCTTGGGCTGATGGGATTAACTGCCTACTCTTAATCCTACCTTAACTGCCTAATCTTAAGCCTACTGTAGGTGACTTAATGGCCAAGACGGAGCCTTTCAGCAATTTATCGAGAAATTGCTAAAAACACCGCTGCTACCATTGTAACAGTACGGGGTAAACGGCTTTCTTTAGTCCATTATCCTGCCCTTAGTTAACTATTCTACAGTTCCCCCGAGTTCCTACTGCAACCTCTTTAGTTCAACACCTTGTCACCTAAGTGTTTGATTACCTTGCTACTTCAACAAGGCATTGTAACCTGATCAGTTACCTGTAACTCTAGAGAACTCTAATACTATACACTGCCACGAACGGAAAATAAAAATGAAAAGAAATGAGTGAGGGAGGTAGAGAGGGGTGAGGGAGGTGTGAGAAAGTAGAAAGGGCTGCCACCATCCATCCTAATTCAGTACATACAAGACAAGGAATTGAACTTGTCTATCATAAAATAATCAAAGGAGTTCATGTATCAACTCTAAACATGTAATCATTAAAATCATAAAATCAGTAAACGCAGACACACACTCCCGCCTCAACTCTCAAAGCTTTAGGGAACAAAGTTAAAGACAATTTAACCCATAAATTCATCAGTTATATTTAACATGATATACATCATAATTCAGGCAATTTAACTTAAGGTTCACTATGTCAAGATTAAAATACAATGCGAGTCATTACACAAGAATTTGAGAACAATACAGCTGTCTGCCCCTGACAATCACACAACACCTAAGTTCGGGAAAACACAAATAAGTCGCCTTAAGTTCAACTCTCCAAGGGAATCAGACTAAGTTAAGATAGAGAGGGGGGGGGGGAACTCGTTAGACAGACAAGAGTCCCCCATCCAGCCTGACAGCCTGGGCTGGCTGTGGGCTCGCTCCAGCACGACCTTCGATCCTCTGTGTCTCAGTCTGATGTCTTCTGACCAATGCTGTCGAATGTACAGTTCCCTGGGTATTTATGGGAA